CCCCCCCCCCCCCCCCCCCCCCCCCCCCCCGCAGGCATGGGGGGCAGCCCAGGCTGTGGCACATGCAACTAATCCCACCATCACCAGGTCTGCAGCTGGGCTGAGGTGGCACAGCAGCTGGACTGTGTTTCCTGTCCGGGAGTGGGACAGGCAGGTGGGGCTGGGGACTGGGATCACAAGGCAGTGACAGAGTGGGGCTGGGTTTGGGGCAGAGCCACAATCTGCTGCCCGCACATCCTTGCAATGGGCACCAGTTGCATGGGCAGGGGCAGATCATGGCTCTGTCCCATATCTTGGCCCTGAATTGTAACTGCCCTGCGATGCCAATCCCCAGTCCTGCCCGCCCATCCCGCTCCCATACGCGGCTCCCTGCCCACTTGCGGCTCCATCTTGTCCACCTGGCTGTGCACCCTGCTGGTGTGGGTCCCGGCTGGTCTCCATGGAGACTCTGGGATTGCAGGGCAGTGACAGCATGGGGCCAGGCCCAGGTCAGTGCCGCAATCTACTTCCCGCATGACCCTGGGAGTTACTTTAGGGAGTTTTGGTGAGCTGTTGAAGGAGAGAGGAGGGCTCGCCTAGACCACAACGGCTCACTAAAATGCCCTAAGTGGCCCTCCGGCCAAAATAATTGCCTACCCTGTAACATCGCAGCTGATGCAAGTAGACTCTATATAAGATCTCCATCCTGTTAGCATAGAATTATTGCACTTAGAGTCCCAACCTCTGCAATTTGGTTCATTCTTCAAGATTTGTTCTTTTTCTTGGTCTGTGGATTTGCAGGTGAGTTTTTCAATACCACCCAAGTGATTTAGGAGTACACATCCCACAGACGGAAGCTACTTCCATCACTTTGGCGCTTCTGAAAATTCCACCATTATCATATTAGTCACACTGAGGCTCATGCAGCATTTGAAACCAAGGAGGATCTCTCAAGGCGTATAGACAGCTGTATCTTTCAGTGACATCCAAATCTAAGATGAGAAAATCCAAATCAAATGCTAATGCCAGTGCTGCGCACAGCGATGATAATTATAGTTATTTAGTAATTGGAAAATATAGGGCACATGCAAAGGTGTTTCAGCATTCTGTCATTATTTGATTACTGTACTATTGGAATAAGGAGGATTAATTGCACGGTAGCTCTGCTTTGCAAATAATTGCAATAGTGGATGTTACATAACATTCTTTTAAGCATTTCTCATTTGCAAATAAACTATAATTTCCGTTATAATAGTAGGTGTCAGTCATTAGGGCCATGAAAAGCCTTGTTTTCATTCATCAGCCAACGAGAAGTGAAAGCGACTGAATGTCTCTTCAAAGCACTCTCTGAATCTCCTCTACCTGTTTTTAATAAACCTCTAATTTTATATGAAATCCTTATTCACTATCAAATAATAGAACAGCTAAATACTGTACCTTACTTCAGGAAACCACGCAGAGATCATTATAGAGCTCTTGATTTATAATGCTGTCTCTAATGCAATTAAAATAATTGCTCCCTAGGTCAAATCCATCTCTGATGTAGTTCTACTAACTTGGTCCACTAAGTTTCCGTTGCTGCTTTTGAGGCAGTATTAGCGTTCCATAAGAAGGAAGTAAGATTAGGTCTTCAGGACCTGCTTTCTTTTCTCTCCTGCTGTTATGTTGAAATGCTTATCCAGTCGTCACAGCTGGTCCATAACCCTGTTAACTTGAATGGATGCCTCTATACCTGTGGGGCGCAATGGCCTTTGCTAATCAGACCCCTGGATGGTAAAACAGTAAAATCCAAGTCTATGTTGTTGCACTGATATTTATCCTTGTTCCTCCTACCAAAACCACTGCAGTGCATTCAAATGAGGTGACACAGGTAGAGCTCACTACTGGCCCATTAGAGCAAGGTAGGAGGTAACTATATTAATTCTTTCCTTATTTTTAAGTGCTCAGAACATCTAGAGGCGGAAATGATAAATACAGATTTCTTTTTTGGTTTATAGGTAGCAGGTTATTTGCCCTTGTCCTTACTTCTACTTTTCTGCAGCTTTTCCATTGTTACCTAATAAGGTACAAAAAGGCAAGTCTGAATTAAGAAACTGATTACCTTGGTTTGCATAGTGAACTTTAAAAAAATAAAACAACTAAGCTATTTTTTTTTTCTCCTGAGCTTACTAATAAGAAGATAGTTCCCAAGTTATAGTGAAGATACTGAATAGTAAGGGTTTGTTCCAAACTGCAAACCTGTAGGCTCACATAGCTTTGGATGGCTGGTGTAAGCGTGTACAGTCACTGACTTTGTAATGCAGCTGGCTCCGAACAAGGGATACAGAACATCTGGATTAACAAAAGAGAAGGGCTGATGGTCCAGACAGTGGCAAGAGCTTAGCCATAGTTTTGGTACCTTGCTTTACTGTAATGTGTTTGTATTATGTTTCCACCCCCTTGAAACTACTGTCATATTTGTACTGAAACATTCCTTTGCAGCTTTTCTATTTTTGGTAGTTTGAGAGAGAGGTGTACTGCAGGCCTGTGCAAAGCTTCGGTCCCTGATTTGATTTGGCGGAGATTCGGCCCGATTCGGTGGCCGAATCTCTGAATCCGAATTGAATCAGAGGACCCTTTAATCTCTCTGAATCGAATCGGAACCCTCCAAATTGATTGAGACATTTGGAAAGATTCAGTGATTCGGACATAGACACAGCTTTAAATCTTTGTTCTACATATCTCTAGGTAGCACGTGAATGCTGTGATGCTGGGAAGGATGGAGCGTCCCACGGTAGTGCAGGGGGCTTCCCAGCGCTCTCAGCAGCAGACCCAGAAGTGGACCAGAAACGCTTCCAGTCCCCTTCCAGGTCCATTGCCCCGCTGTGCCCCCCGGCTCAGAAACTGGTGCCTCCTGGGTCTGAGGGGGCACCCGGGATCCCCCCATGGCCAATCAGAGCCGGAGAGATATGGTGGGGGGGGCCCTTCAGCGTGCTCGGCAGCAGACCTGGAAGTGGACTGGAAGTATTTCCAGTCTGCTTCCAGGTTCGTCACTGAGCATACGCTCCCCCCCGCCCTTGCCCCCCGTGCACTCCTGTGGGACACTCCATGCACCCCAGCATCGCTGTGTTCACAAGCTGAGCCGGTACCTCGAGGTATGTAGAAAAACATTTAAAGCTGTCTCTATGTCCGAATCACTGATTCTCTGAAGCAGCATCGAATCCTCAGATTCGGATTTGGCCAAATCGAATCAGGGACAGTGATCCGAATCAACACATTGAATCACTGTCCCTGATTCGGGCTAAATCCGAATTGAATAGGGCTCACTTCGCACACCCCTAGCATACTGTGTTAGAGTCAGGGAGCCAGGGGTGCTAAGGAAATCAATACTATGAGAAGAATGATCAAATCTTTGACGTGGATTGATTATGTATATAACTCTCCTTTTCCTTATTTTCAGGAGAAGATGGGACACAAACTCATCCTGAGAGCAACAGCCAAGAAAACAAGCCACAGACACGGTGTCAGTCTTGCACATCTACATTTCTGAAGGTTGTCTGGGGATTTCTGATCATCTTGTCAGTCTCGTCTTCTTGGGTTGGAACCACACAGATTGTGAAAATCACATATAAGAACTTTGACTATCCATTTTTCATGACTTGGTTTTCAACAAATTGGAACATTATGTTTTTCCCTATTTATTATTCTGGGCATCTTGCAACGGCACAGGAAAAGCAGTCTCCAATCAAAAAGTTCAGGTATGCTTTATTGTGGTAATATTGCCTTGCATAGCTCAGTAATTGCTGGCTCAAGTGACATACCTTTTCTTAAATACAAAAATCTAGGACTCTTGGTTCAGTGATGATACCTTTTATTAGACCAACTAGGAAATTGCAAAAAAAAATTATCTTTTTCTGCAAGCTTTCGGGCTCAAAGGCTTTTGGGCTGAAAGGCTCAAAGCCCAAAAGCTTGCAGAAAAAGATTTTTTTTTTTTTGCAATTTCCTAGCTGATTTAATAAAAGGTATCATCTCTGAACCAAGAGTTTTTGCATTTCTTTTTGTCTCAGACCAACACAGCTCCCAAATACATGCATACTTTTTCTTAGACATTCATTTGTTTTTTCTTGGGGTCATGAGATGGAGTAAGGGTCAAGCTTTCTATTAAAGTCTCCTTCCTAAATAGCTTCTAAAGAGAGAATAGATTATTAATATATGTTTAAATAAATGATTAATCAGTTCTTATAGATTTTTGTTGTTGGGTTCAGCCGGCCAGTTCAGCATGGTTATAAACCATGGCTAATACCTTCTTCTGAAGTTCTTGTAGCCATCTGTATAAGACCTTCTACTCCTTTCTGTGACATGCTTCTATTAAGTGCCCACTTGCCTTTATCAACTAGTTATAAATGGAGCTTTAATATGCAGTTCAACCACATTAAATTAGCTCAAAACTGCCGAGATATCATCCTAAGAGAAGACTGTGGCCATAGGTGCTCACTAGGATGATTGCTTGTGTCCCTGTCTTCTGCGTGCCAACTACTGGCATGGAGGCAGAGCAGTTGCTGTGCTCTGCCTTGCAAAATTTATCAGCTGGCATGGGGAGCACATACCTATGGCTGCCTTCCCCTATGCTGGGACATCCAAGGAAGGAATTGCAACCTGTAGAGTGGCAGTCCCTATGCTCTACTTCTTTTAACATGCAGCTGCATACTGCCCCTTGCTGGGAGTTGCTTTTGCTGGGAGCAGACTCTCAGCCTTGGCCATATGCTGGGAGCAGACTTGTCATCGGGCTTTAGCAGCAGTTATAATTTTAGGCAGCTCGGGCAGTGACCTGTAAACTACTGTTTCTGTCCAGTAACCGATGTATGGAACCATAAAAATGTAGGGCTGAAAGAGACTTCAAGAGATGATCTAGTCCATCTCCCTGCACTGAGGCAGACCCAAGCTTTCCTAGACTGTTCTTGGTAGATATTTGCTTAACTAGTTGCTGAAAACCTTTAGCGAAGGAGATTTCACAGCTTCCAATGGCAGCCTGTCCCAGAGTTACCACCTTGACAGTTAATGTCTAACTGCTCAAGGAACTGAAACGAAGATACAGTGTCTTGCTCAAAGCACTCTTAGTGGGATGTTTAAAAAACAAGATCCAGATCCTGGTAATCCAACTCCTGATAAGTAGCAGATTGCTCCAGAAACAACATCGCTGGCTTTAGTGTAGCCATCTGTGGAATAAGCCATTATTCAATGTGTGATTGATTTCCGAGTCCTGGCCCCATCGTCTGGCAGATGGAGGCTTCTTTTGAAAACAGTGGGAGTTTTGTTTAAGGGCAGTAGGATTGGGGAATAGAAGCCAAATTCTTCCTTCAGCTGCAATTGCTCTGAGCCCAGGTCTAAATTTGGCCCTAAGTTATCATTTCTATCATAGACTCATAGAACTAATGAGTGGGAAGGGACCTAGACAGATCATCGAGTCCGACCCCCTGCCTTGGGCAGAAAGGAGCACTGGGGGTGGCAGGGGTCATAAGACCCCAGCCAGGTGCCTATCCAGTCTCCTCTTGAAGATCTCCAGGGAAGGTGAGAGCACCACCTCTCTGGGAAGCCTATTCCAGGCTCTGGCCACCCTTACAGTGAAGTAGTTCTTCCTAATATCTAACCTAAACCT